TAAACATACATTGTACATATAAAGTATTCTCAATCCATTTATGAATGAATGTAATAAATAAATAAAAATAAATATATGTCTTGCATTTTTGTAGCTGGTAGATCATTTTGACTTGATCATTTTATAAGTAGCTCACATGCTGAAAGAGTGTGAGCACTCCTGATTGACATATAACCCCCTCCCTGGGAGACAGACAACAGAAAAGTGGGTGAAGGGAGATGCCGCACAATGTAAGACATGACAAAATAATAATAATTTATAAATTATCAAAGGTTCATGAGGGAGGGCGAGGAGGGAGGGAAAAATGAGGAGCTGATACCAAGGGATCAAGTAGAAAGCGAATGTTTTGAGAATGAGGATGGCAACAAATGTACAAATGTGCATGACACCATGGATGTGTGTATGGATTGTGATAAGAGTTGTACAAGCCCCCAATAAAAAGAGAAAAAAAACGGAAAGTCCTGTGAACTTTATGAAAGAAGATGTACTACACTGAGTTGAGATAATTAATTTGTTATCATGTTAGGCTTTAGGAAATTTACAATTCAATTCAGAAAAGTGCACTGATACTATATGGCCAGCCAATGATTTCTTTAATGCCACACATAAGCTGTATTATAATTTCATTGTCACAGTATTTGATGTTTCAGATATAAAGTCTATGATCTAGCTCTTAAGAAAAATAAGAACATGTTAACACAGTTACATATTAATAATAACACTGGTGTATAGTGGCTGTTTTCAAGTGAAAATTCATTAGCCAATTACTTCCAACAATCTAAGAAGATTGTTAAGATGCATAAAACCACTAATTAGCTTGTAAACATTGATGATTTTTCAATAGTAATAGTAATCTTCTTAGTCAGATGATGATGCCTAACCATAGTATTCAGCATCACCAAATGTGTTCACAGATTAAGTAAAAGGATAAAGGGTCGGAATTTTCCATTGCATTTATAAGAAAGAGTCAAAAAGAACAACCAACAATAATGACCTGACTTATTTGTTTGTTTTTTTAAATCTGACAATATTATGGTTTACTCTCATTACTGTGTTTCTGCACTTGTTTGACTGCTTTGTTTTTTGGCATTTGTGATAGCAGCATAACTAGCAAAATTAGCAAGCATTCTAACTTTTCAGATTTATTAATTGTGTTTACACATATCTGTATAACTACTGAAGCATTGAACCGAGCTTGCTTTTACAAGAGAATGGATCTTGACTTAGAAAGTATATCATATCCACCCCCCAAAAGTCTACCATATCCAAGGAGTAATGATTCCCATGGCTATAGAATTATTAATTTTACATGCATTACCTCAAGCATTCAGATGCTGGATTCACATAGTGTCTCTGAGATGTTTCTATTTCTGAAAGCTAAATATTTAAGCTATTTTTCCATGCAAAAAATATTAGGATCTCTTAGTAATTTTGGCAATGGAAACAAAGCTTTGCTGGATTCTTCCATAGAAATCATCCCTCCTCCCACTCTCCCTCCCTTCTCCCCGACCCCCCAGGAGAAAACAAGTCAAGAACGCAGCCCTGTAACTAATGCATTTGCAGATTCAGCCAGGTAGTATTTCACTTCTCTTGGTTTTCCTTTTTTAGGTTCTAATCCAGGTTCTAATCCAGGTTCTAATCCCCGAATCTTCATGTAAGAGGGGAAACATTAGGATATGTATGTTTTCATCTGAAAGCCATCAAGTTGAAAAAATTCTGGCTGAAAAATTAACAGACAAATAACAATTCATAGGCAGATTTGTTTATTTACTTTCAATGACTACTTATCAAGTCACGGGAAGAATCTTTTCAACCCCCTGAACTCAGAGTACTAGCAAATTCCAAACCAACTTCGCTACCATTGAGCTGATTCCGATTCTCAGGGAGCTTATAAGACGGTAGAACTGGCCCTGTGAGTTTCTGAGACTGTACCTTTTTCTTTTCAATGTCATTCTGTTGGGGCTCTTACAGTTCTTATAATAATCCACACACAATTGTATCAAGCACATTTGTATATATGATGTCATCATCATTTTCAAAATGTTTTCTTTCTACTTAATCCCTTAGTATTAGCTCCTTTTCCCCCCTTCCCCCACCCTCCCACACTCATGAACCCTTGATAAATGATAATTTATTATTATTTTCATATCTTACACCGTCTGCTGCCTCCCTTCATGGTTTCTATTGCTCACCCCCTGGTGTGTGGAGGGGTTGTTTTATGTACTCGATCATTGTGATTGGTTCCCCCTTCTCCTGGGACCTTCTACCTACCCTCATGGCATTGCTACTCCCATTACTGTTCCTGAGGGGTTTACCTGTCCTGGATTTCATGTGTTGAGAGCTCTTATCTGTATGAGTGCACATGCTCCTGTCTACCCAGATTTGTTAGGTAAAACTGGGGTCATGATAGTGTGTGTGTGTGTGTGTGTGTGTGTGTGTGTGTGCCGGGGGCGGAGGAAGCATTAAAGAACTAGAGGAATGTTGTATGTTTTGTTGGTGTTATACTGCAACCTAGCTGACTCATCCCTTCCTTGTGACTCTTCTGTGAAGGGATGTCCAATGGGATCGTGATTCTTCATGGGAGTAGAAAGTTTCCTCTTTCTCTCATGGAGTAACTGGTGATTTCAAACTTCTGACCTTGAGGGTGGCAGCCCCGTGTGTAGCCCACACCCCCACCAGATCTCTTTACTTTAGTGCTATGAATACTTCCTTCTAAATTTTGGGAAGCCTAATTAAACATTCATTTGAATGATACAAGGAAATTATGGGTTTTGTTTGGTTTTCCATTTTAAATTATTGGGTTTTCATATAAAATGTAGAATCAAGTATATCTTTCCTGAGAATTAAATCCAGAGTATGATGAAGAAAGATATAATGTTCACTTATTTACTTTATCATTTCTTCCATTCACTTTGGCTACTCCATGTTCAAGAAAAAGTTTCAGGATCGCTTCTGACAGCCACTCTGCTCTTCCCGTTCTTTCCTGTCTCTCTAATGACCTTTGCCTTCTTCGTGTACGATGTTCTGGTGTCGCCCAGAGCTCATGAGGTCTTCTGTCATTCATGTTCAGTGCATCCAATCCGGTCTCAAGATGTTCTCTAAATCAGGTGGGAGGTACTCAAGGCCGTATTTTGGCTCTTGTGGACTTGTTTTAATTTTCTTTAGAGTAAGAAAGGAAAGAGCATCAGAAATATTTTTTAAAAGTCAGAGAATAGATTTCTGTTGTGGAACAAATGAGAAATATTTGAGCCTAGAGCAAATTCAGGTTGGGTTAAGAGGGAAGTCAACTGACCAAGTATCAAGTTATACCTTAGTTCAATCCACCCTAATCAAGTTTACAATAATCTCTGTTTGATAGTAAAGCTGTTTAAGTCCCTCACCTGTGGCTACAGGGGATCTATCAGAGGCTTAATCAAACTAGGAACTATGCAGATGGATTTTGGGCTACCATTGTCCTCCACATTCTTCTACATATTGGATGTTCACAATTTAAGCTCTGATACTTTTCCACTCATCGTACTTGGCTTTTGTTATTGTCATCTTTGGATCACACAGGCTGCTATGCTTCTTCCATGTGGACTTAGTTGAGTCCGCGCTTAGGTGCCTGTTTGTTTGAATACAAACCTTTAAGACCCCAGACACTATTCCAATTGATAGCCAGCACCATCTGATTTCTTCACCCCACTCACTTGTAGCACCCATATCTTTAGCGATCTCTTCATGAAGGTGAGTCTCGAGCAGGGCCATGTTATAAGAACTAACTGTTCTTGAATTGGGGCTAAGATTATTTAGGAGCCCAGAATCATAAGATTTCAAAAGTACAAAATGTTTAGGACTCTATCAAATGACCATATAAAGACAAACCACTGAGTTTGATATTCAACAAAATATTACAGATTACAATCCAGAATATAGATACAGAAGAGAAAATAAATGATAAAAGCTCAGAACAAAGAAGTGGGTGAATGAGCAGGAAGCATGAGCTTCATTGCAGACTCAAACACTTGTGGCCAGTAATCACATAGAAAGAGTTTCAACTTCATCGGCAATCAGAAAATACAGCTTAGCAATGGTAATGTGATACCTTTGCATCAATCAGATTGACCAAAAGGAGAAACGAGAATTCTGACAATACCATAATACTTATTTCTATGAAGTGGAACAGTGAGGACTCACACATGGCCAGCGGGCCTGTGACCGTCCCAATGGCTTTGGACAGCAATTAGGAGAGTTGGAATTGACTTGAATAGCAAGTGGAAGTAGCACTAAAAGCTATAGATGAAAATTTATCTGCCTTTAGTGATTCTCTTCTAAGATATGTTCTGGGGAAACTGTCACGGTTACAAGGAGAAATTCGTGAGAATGCATCGTGGGCGTAGGGGGCGAGACAACGTAAATGCTCATCTCCATGAAAAGGAGTGATACTAATGAACCCACTGCCATTGAGCTAATGACAACTCAGAGGGTCCCCACAGGACAGGGCAGAACTTTCCCTGTGAATTTCCAAGACGAACTAGTCACAGGAGGAGAAAGCCCTGTCCCGCTGAGGACAGCGAGTTTTGAACTGCTAGCAGTGCAGTTAGCAGCCCAGTGAGTAACCAGTACGTCACCAGGGCTCTGAAAATGGATGGCATGGTACATTTATTACATGAAATGTTATATTCAGGTGTAAGATTTAGAAAAGTATCACTATGTCTCTGAAAATGGATATGTCTCACAAACACAATCTTTTCTGGAAAAAAAAATTACTTACAGAAGAATATTTATGATATAATTCCGTTTATGTCAGGATTGAAAAGCATGTAAAAGAATCGGCCAGATAAGCCTTAACTGTTACTGTATAATTTGTACTTTGTAATACTTGGTAGTTACATGGTTCGTTAACCTTTGAGCTAACAGAAAATTAAGCATTAACGATGGTGTCAGGTTAAAAAAAAATCCCCAAATCAAAACCTTAAAAATACATCTCCAGAATTTTAGTAAAGAACCATGTTGGCAGAGAGATCATCTTAAGCTGGCTTTAAAATGCCATTGATAAGTCATGCTTCATCCTAAAGTCCTGTGCTTCACCAGGCAGTTTGAGCATGTTAACTGGCTGTAACATTTGTCCAAGCGTTACTTGTCTGCTGCGTGCCTTGTGCCTAGACCTTGTGCCTAGGCATCCTCTCCGTGTGGGCTGTACAGCGGAACTGGAGGAGGCTGAGCAACATGTCCAGGGCACAGATCTCAGCCCTGGTGTTTGGCGTCGGAGGGTTTGGAGCCCTCGTTGTTGCCACAACATCCAACGAGTGGAAAGTCACTACTCGAGCATCATCGGTGATAACCGCCACTTGGGTTTACCAGGGTCTGTGGATGAACTGCGCAGGTAACGCGTTGGGTTCTTTCCATTGCCGACCACATTTTACTATCTTCAAAATAGAAGGTAACTACAATGGTTTCATTTGGGGTGGAAATATGCTGAAGTTTGCCACTATGCTGATGCTGTACACAGCGGGCTGTTAACAATGTAAATGCTGAATGATTAATTAAAGTGCCACAGTTTGCCTAGGATGAGGGAGGTATAAGTACTGGGTGGACAAATCAAATCATGATTTCATTTGGTGAAGGAGAGCTAGGAATAGCTTTATGGATCTTTTAGAAATGCCCAGTGGAAATAATACATTCCCAAAGAAAAGGTAGAAGTGACTGGCTTATTTTAAAAGCCAGTTTAAATGTGTTTTAAGTCATAGGTAAACCTTGATGGGTTATCTACCCTATATGTAAGAGTTCTCATTTATTTTAACTATCAGATTTTATATATTTTTATATATATATATTTATATATATATATATTCAGAATTATAGAAGCATGTGCCAAGGTTAGGAACGAATATGGTTTTCTATAGGGGTTTCCATCTTATCTTTCCATTGCCATGTTTAATAATTTAAAAAAATAACAGTAAGAAAATTTGAAAGGTAGTTTAAAGAAAGAAAGCACGACAAACTTTCCTTTTTGGCTATCTGGGGTTATTTTAAATACATGGATATCACAGACGTATTGTGGACTCCTGTGGATTGACATATTATTCACATATCCATATTAGATATTCCACTATAAGTATGTGTCTCTTAAAGAGGAGAAACCTATAACACAATTTCATACTTCAGGACACATTCGAGGAAAAACCACCAAAGCGTTTACCTGCATGCTATTATAAAAACACCACTTCCTTCAACTTTCTTCTACTTAATGCTATCCATATCTACCACAAGTACTGGGTTTATTATGTTAAAATAGTCCCTGCATCTTAATAAAATGTAAACATTTTGCAATCAAGTGGTTAAAATTTTACCTTTGCCCCAGTAAAGAAAATGAAATAAAATTTTAACTAGGACGTCACTAAAGCATCACAATTTATGGGATTTTTGTGTCAGGTCTGCATGTCATTAGTCTACAGCAGGTGCCAAATTATTCAGAGAATTTGCTTTTTTAAAGACAAGAGATGTTCAAGTTTGGATACTCCAGTTGTAGTTTCCTAATTATCCCTTTAAGCAATCACTGATATACATATTTGTATGTATATATAGTCTCAAATTCTAAATTTATTTGGGGCTATTTCAAAACTTTTTTCTGCTATAAAAGAAGTCCCTGGGGACGGGGAAAGTTTGCAAAGGAAAAGAAGAGTGCTGTGGAGGCATTTTTGTCCCTCTGCACATCTCTCTTTTTTTTAAAAATCTTATTATTGGGCTCATACAACTCTTATCACAATCCATACATACATCAATTGTGTAAAGCACACTTACACATTTGTTGCCCTCATCATTCTCAAAATTCGCTTCCCCCTTGGGTTCCTGGAATCAGCTCATTTTCTGTTTTCCCCTCCCCCTTCCTCCCCACTCCCCCTTCCTCATGAACCCTTAATAATTTATAAATTATTATTTTATCTTATCTTACACTGCCCAGCGTCTCCCTTCACCCACCCTTCTGTTGCCCTTGCCCCAGAGAGGAGGTTAGATGTAGATCCTTGTGATTGATTACCCCTTTCTACCCGCGGTTGTGGGGTTCATCTGTCCTAGATTCCCTGTGTTTCCAGTTCCCATCTGTACCGCTGTGCATCCTCTGGTCTAACCAGGTTTGCAAGGTAGAATTGGGATCATGATTGTTGGGGGGAGGAAGCGTTTAAGAACTAGAGGAAGGTTGTGAGTTTCATTATTGCTACATTGAACCCTGAGTGACTCATCTCCTCCCCACTACCCCTCTGCAAGGTATGTCCAGTCGTCCACAGATGAACATTGGGTCCCTATCACGCTCTACCCTCATTCACGATGAAATGATCCCCCACCCCCACCCCTGCCTTTGGTGCTTGAAACCTGGTCCCTTTGGCCCTTCATGATCACGCATGTTGGTGTGCTGCTTCCATGTGGGCTTTGTTGATCCTGGGCTAAATGGCCGCTTGTTTACTTTCAAGCCTTTAAGTCCCCAGACGCTATAGGTCTCGATAGCTGGGCACCATCAGCCTTCTTCACCACACTTACTTATGCACACATTCGTCTTCAGCATTTATGTGTGGAAGGTAGTCACACAATGATGGTTTTTGTTCTTTGGTGTCTGCTACCTGATCCCTTCAACACCTCGTGTTCCCACAGGCTTGTGTGCTTCTTCTCTGTGGGCTTTGTTGCTTCCGATCTAGATGGCCGCTTGTTTGCCATGAAGCCTTTAAGACCCCAGATGCTATATCTTTTGATAGCTGGGCACCATCAGCTTTCGTCACCACATTTGCTTATGCGCACGTCTGTCTTCAGCGATCATGTCAGGAAGGTGGGTATCATGAAATGACCATTTAGCTGAGCAAGGTGCTCTTGTATTAAGGGAATGCACAAGAGGAGGCACAATGTCCACCTGCTACCCTACTATTAAACCTATAAATATATGCACATAGATCCATTTCCCCCATAATCGTAAATATATTTACATATGTACATGTCTGTATTTAGGCTTCTATGTATGCCCTTTGCCTCCTACTCCTTTCTTCTATTTCCTTATGCTTTCCTCCTGTCCCACTACCATGTTCAGCCTTCATTCTGTTTTCAGTAATTCCTCTCAGTTACCTTGCCCTTGGTCACTCCCTACCAGTCCTCCCATCCCCTCCCTGCCATTGGTTTTGAATTACTCATTGTTCCCTTGTCCCTGGGTTGGCCAACACCCTCCTCCTTCCCCTACCTCCCACACTCTCATGTCCCTCTGGGACCGTTGGTCCCTTTATTTTCTTCTCACATTGTTTGTCCAGCCTCTCTTATCTAGGCGGACCTGCAGACACATTAATATGTGCATAAAATTGGGGATGGCTTTGGCAGCACCAAAGTGGCACATAAGAACATGGCAACGATGGCAGCAGCACCGACAAGCTAACAAACAAAAAAGCCACTGACATACAAAATTTAAAAGAAAAAACCCCAAAACAAATAGGCAGAAAGAAAAAAAAGCCTGCTAGTAGTTCAAGGTCTGTTTGTTGACCTTTAGGAGTGTTTTCCGAATGAGTCTGATGGGGTGCCACGTTCTGGCCCCAAAGTCCATCTTTGTACTCTCTCGGGATCTCCTTGCTCTACTTCCCCCACTGCTCCATTGCACGCCCCCAGTGTTTTGCCTCAGTGTGGTGGGGTCAGCTCAGTCACACATCCCACACTGTGTCTCTGATGCTGTCCCGTGCAGGGCCATGGGTCAGTGCAGGATGTCGCATCTCACCATGGGGGCAGCTATATGGTCCTCTCTGTACACTGGGCCCTCTGAGCTGGGCTGTCGTCCTCTGAGCTTGGTGGGCCCAGGTGTGCTCCGCTCCATTCTGCCTCCTTCCTTTGCTTCAGCTTCCTTCTGGGTGTGGTGTGGTAGGTCAGTTCCTTCTCACACCAGACGATCTATTTTTCTGTGGTACTCCCTACCATGGTGGGGGTCGGGCTGATTCTGGTTAGGGCCAGCATATGGTCCAGTCTCTTTTTACGTTGCCCTCCTGGTTTGGCATCTGTGGGGTCTGTATGCACGTTCCAGTTCTGTGGGAACACAACCAATACTCTCCCCCTGGGTGGGTTAGTACCCTGTTCCCCCCATGCCATCAACTCAGTTTCTCCCCACCCCATTTCTCCCTCCAGCTGCCCACCTTCCCCTTCTTTATGTTCCTCCCTAGATGTGGCCTGCCCTCCCTCCAACTATCTATGCTTCCACCCGCTTATTGCGAGATGGGGGTTTGGTCTTGCATTCCTGGTGCTGCCCATCTCTCCTGGTTGTTCTTTCTCATGGCTCCTCTGGGTCCAGTCCCATCTCTGGCCACAAGTAGAATGTACGGCATGTGGGTAAGTCTGTTTCTAGGTTCTTCATTGGAATCATTCCAAACAAAATATGTTGGTGGACGTGTGTCTCTCTCTTTTTTTTAGAGATCATTTTATTGGGAGATCTTACAGCTCTTATCACAAGCCATCCATCCATCCATTGTGTCAAGCACATTTGTACATCTGTTGCCATCCTCATTTTCAAAACATTTTCCTTCTACTTGAGCCCTTAATACCAGCTCCTCATTTCCCCCAACTTCCCTCCCTTATGAAGCCTTGACAATTGATTTTTTTTTTTCATGTCTTACACCAACTGCTGTCTCCATTCACCCACTTTTCTGTTGTCTGTCCTCCTGGGAAGGGGTTATATGTAGATAATTGTAATTGCCCCCACCTTTGTACCACCACCTTCCTCTTGCCCTCCTGCTATTGCTACTCTTATTATTGGTCCTGAGGGATTTATCTGTCCTGGATTCCCTGTATTGCGAGCTCTTAACTGTACCTGTGTACATGCTACAGTCTAGTTGGATTTTTAAGGTAGAATTTAGGTCAAGATAGTGGGGGGAAGGAAGCATTAAAGAACTAGAGGAAAGTTGTATGCTTCGTCTCTTCCTTCTAACTCTTCTGTAAGTGGATATCCAACTGTCTACAGATGGTCTTTGGGTCTCCACTCCACACTCCCCCTCATTCACATTGATATGATTTTTTGTTCTGCATCTTTGATGCCTGATACCTGATCCCATCAACACCTCATGATCACACAGGCTGGTGTGCTTCTTCTATGTGGGCTTTGTTGCTTCTCAACTAGATGGTTGCTTGTTTATCTTCAAGCCTTTAAGACCCCAGACACTATATCTTTTGATAGCTGGGCATCATCAGCTTTCTTCACTATATTTGCTTATGCACCCATTTTGTCTTCAGCGATCGAGTCTGGAAGGTGAGCATCACAGAATACCAGGTTATTAGAACAAAGTTTTTGTGTTGAGGGAGTACCTGAGTAGAGGCCCAATGTCCATCTGCTTCCTAAATACTTAACATATAAATTTATGTACATAGATCTATTTTCCTATCTTTATATATAAATATATTTACATATGTACATGCCTGTATTTAGACCTCTAT